CTCGACTTCACTTCAGATCCAAACCTAGGGTTGCAAGCACATCCGAAAGCGTTCATTAGTCCTTTATGATCACATACCACACCAGTTCTACTTAATTACTCTTAATTAGTTTGATTATCATATGGTTAATTTTTTGGATGTTATACTTCTATTAGTTGATAGAAAATTGGGAACATTAAAATGGTTTCTTCCACTCTTGCGTTAATTCACTTTTAAAAATGTGTGCAATATAAAATACATGATTTACTGTGGATGCATTTTGAGGAATAAAAATAAGCTAGGTCACATTAATGTCTGAGTAATGTAATATCCAATCATATCATATAAAGAAGCAACTTATTCATGTAACTTAATTATTTTTTACCTCCTCTATAAAAATCTCTTTTCCTTTTTATCCCTTCATTTCTGTTACCCTGATGCGTTTGGAACAGTTTAATTTGTTGTGATATACTCGTATAATTTTATAAACCCACCTACTTCTTCACGTAGCATATACAACATAGCAAACCCTTTCCTAAATCCGCCTTGATTAACAACTCATCTCGAAATAATACTCATCATATGGATGCATTACCTGCACGAGTAGAAATAAGGAGCTGAAAATGATATACTGCTGGTTGTTTATTTGTCGCTATGAATATGACACCTCAATCTTTCAAGAAATTAAATTGCTTTTCAACGCTGATAGCGAAAGGCCAATTAATTATACCTAATTTTAGTATTAAAAGTGTACAGACTTAGTGGCCAATGTATATATATACTATTTATATAATTATATGGAATTGCTTGTCTAAAGGCAACGTTTCCCCGTAAAGGAGACCAGAACTGTTCAGTCATTCTAAAATATTAGGGAACCCCATGCATGCCACATATCTACTACTATTCTAGGTCGAATAATGTTATCTGTATGCATCACTTGACTTCTTCTTGTTTTTTTTTTTTTTTTTGGCCTGGAATCACTTTGCTTTCTCGAGCATGGTAGTTCGTAGTAACATATATACTTCTAAAAATTCAAATTCCACGTAGCAGTTTGAATGTTATGCTCCGTGAACTTAAACTAATTAACATCATAGTTTACAGTCAATCTTGGTCCTCTCTGGACGAGATATGGCAAATATTTCTCACCTATATGGTTCGGTACTTCCGTTCAGGTGATGCCGAGAAAGGAATGATTGTTAGAGGGGATTGAGAGAGAGATAGTGACATGTGCAGTAACTTGGAATGGCAGCATATTCCTTGGAAGATGCTTGATCATCAGTAACCTTCGTTTTCACTCTCTATTTTATGCTGCTTTTTTCACGAAAAGTCACCACCACACTAAGACACTACAGGTATTCAAGTCATCTCATGCTTTTATTGCAATCATGACCAAAGGAGCAAACCCTACCATGAGGCTATAACAGCCAATCCAAGCTTCATTCTCAGACCCTCTTCGTCCTCCATCATCATAACCATGTAATGCTTTCTCTTCTTACCCAGCTTGGCCTCCTCTGCCCATGGCGGAGACGGTGGTATCCCCCGTTACTGGCTCCTTTTAGCTAGATTCGAGAATAAATTTTTCCGGGTGTGAGTGAACCTATTTCAATTCCTGATGATGATTTCTTTTAAAGAGGGCAACTTCGATCCTTTGGCATTTTCACTTCCTTGGTCTCAGATCACTCACTGTGATTGGGTTCTCGAAGGTGTATTCTTATCTCCTTTTTATCTTTGTACTGTAATTTAAGCATGGTTATGATGAGCAGGCTAGCTGCCAGCTATAGCCATAAGGAGGACTCTGGACAAAGTTTATACCTGTTCTCTTGTTTCAGACTCATTTCTCACTGTATTCTCTGTATGAGCAACTGGTATTCAATTTCAAAGATCGTAAGAATACTTTAGTCAGTAGTGGAACAGCGCCAATAAAATCATTGAAAAATTCTTCTCTAATGAAATTCTCTTTTCACTCCAAAAAAGGATCATTGAAAAATTAAGGATAGTTAGTCAAAACGAAGTTCAAATTATACCAGATCGATATCTGTCCATTTCAATAATGGAGATCACATGTAGCTAGCTAGCTAGGGCTGGAAATGAACTCATGGAAGATTTCTTCATAAACGAGTTAGTTTGACGGTTCATATGCAAGTCGAATTTAAGGGGAGTTACTCAACTCGTCTAGATCTTGAATAGCTCATTTGAAGAATAATGGGAAAATATATATCTTTTTACTGATAAAAAAAACTCACAAGTATTTTGCTTATCACATCCCAATATCATCAGGGTGGATATTGGTCATAAAGGTAAAAACTACTGACATTCAGAAAGATTACCGCAGAATTATCGGCAATTAATTGCATATTCTTTGAAGGTTCTATCCTGCGACTGCCATTGATACGTTAAGAGAGATATCACATAAATGTAGGGCGTGATTGGCTTGGTTCTGGCTTCATCTGATTTGGAGATGAACTGTACCGCATGACTGATGCTTTGGTAGACTGAACCACGATTTGTATCGGCCGGTGCAAATCAGTTCCCCCGGGCAAAAAGCCGTCCATTTACACGAGGTTGGGTTGAGAAGTTGTTTGTGCTTATTGTGAGATGAGTATTAGTGTATTACTAATCTAAATCTAAACAATAATATAGTGTTGGATTTGGATTTTGTAACCCTAAATCGAACATCTTTCTTAATTGAAAAAAATAGTAACCATTAAATTATAATTTAATGATGTTGAAAAGGAAATTATAAATTTATTTTTAATACTAAATAAAGATTTTTATCTCAAAACTGTTAGATTATAATCAATGCGATCGACAGAAATGGTCTTATTGTACTCCACTCTCATCTTCAATGGGGTTTGCTAGTTAATATTCCTTAATCGAGGGGATCCGAATCCATTAATTTCAAGTCTATTATGATTATTAGAGAATGGTAATGTGAAATACCCTAGAAAATGAATAAAATATATATATAAATTCAATTTACAATCATGAAAATTCATATCATAACTGGAGGTGATTATTAAGGATGGATTACTAAATGAAAAATCTCAACTGATTTTCATATGAATGAATCCCTAGGAGTGGAAAAAATCATGAGTGATTTTTAAAAGAATGAATTATTAGGTGGAATCTTATGAGTGATTTTAGTATAAATGAACCATGAGCTTGAAAATTCATTTAGGAGAGATGATCAAATAAATGAACTATAAAAAGAGAGGGAGGGCTACAAACTCCAATCCAAATAAACTATAAAAGCGTAATTAACCTATCTTTGATATCATGAAAGAAGTCAAGGAATTTTTTTTTTTGAAAAAGTAGTGTTTTATATTGACCTGAAAAGCTTATAATATATAGATAATAGCCCAATAATACCTAATAAATACAAAATGTTTTTTTTAAACCTCAACAAAATAAATCTCAATGGATAACTTAACAAATATTAAATTGAAACATGCGTGATTCATGGGAAGTATATTTAATTCAGTGGCCAATCAATCTACGATTGAGCATATGCAAGGTTTTTCTGACATTAGTTCCATGATTATTGTGTGGGGTGCAAAGAAAATTAAACTCAATCTGTGGTGTATCAACTTTCTTTCAAACCTCATCAAGATCATCGGAAAGACATTTTTTTTTGTCACTATAGAGGCTTCCTTATGAGGATGATTATTCAGATAAGGAGCTTCGTCGTTATCCTGGCACCAGAAGCAAATTAACATCAGCTCATTATATTTAGCCACAAACATTCTTTCTTAATGAGCTTAATATCCTTTGGCAATCCCTTGATGACAACTTTCAGATATTTGGCCGATTCACTCACAACTGGATATATATTATAGTTATCTTACAGAAATCGTACATGGATCAGACTTTATTCAACTTCTTTGGATTAATATCAGTATAACTTATCAAATCTATAGTAAATAGTTATCATAAATCATGAACAATGAGACTTGTTTCTTAAACTTGCTGCATGCAATTTATAAAAAACGTGCTTAATTATAACTAGCTACATGTTTACATAAGAAAAAAAAATTAAAATTTTAAAATTTGAAAAAATATCAAACAATCAAATATATTGAAAGACAAACCAAGAAGTAATAAATAATTTTACTTCATCATCAATTTTCATTCACTTTTCAATAGTCGCCCCTTTTAATTTCTGCCAAAACCCAAACTCACGCTGCATTTTGTAATGTTTAAATACTCCTATTAAGTATGAATTACGAGTGAACAAATAATATTTTTTTCCCCTTTGAAAGAACTTCTCTTTCATTTATTTTAAAAATATAGAATCTTTCCTTGAAATAAAAATATATAATTTGTTTATATAAAAATAAGCTAAATTATATTTCTAAAAAGTATTGATGATACATGTTTTAAATGTTTATATTTTTTAAAAAAATATTTATTTTTAATGTAGCAAACTAAAATATTTAGTAATAAAAAATTAATTCAAACATGACTTAAAAACTATCTAATGATTAAATATTGTTATTGTTAAATAACTAAATGAATGAACACATGGCCGGCATCCCAGTAAGATGGATTATCTCAAAAGATTTTCATTTACAAAAAGCCCGAATGAGAGCCCAAATCCATTGATATATCTTTTTTTTGGGCTACACATTGATATATCTTTTGAACCCAAATGAGCGAGACCTCGTTACCCATTTTTAAATTCCTCTTATATTGGACTGCAACACCGTTAATCGAAGTTACAAGCCCTTTTGGGTCAAGGTTTCAGAATTCAGCAGCTTCGTTTTGAAGGTTAAAAAAAAAGAAAGAAAGAAAGAAAAAAAGAAAAAAGTGTCTTTGTAAACATTTTGAAGTGAAAGGACCACGTTAAGTCAACATCACTCAAAAAAATTATTTATAAAAAAAATTAATATAAAAATATTATTATTAAAATAGGAATGTAATTTTTTTTTTTTTTAATGAGACTTGTCCCTATTCTTTATCTAAGAAAAATTGAGTGTGGTTGTCACTCTGTCTTTCAAAATTGGCTTGAATTTACGGTTCTGTCATTTACCCCTTTCCCGAAATCCCAGATATCATCCCACTCAACTCCTCCCCCCCCGTCCCCAGCGAGCATGGTTAGCTGACCTTCCTGGAGAGGGTGATTGAAACTCCTGGACCCAACCCCGTCACCCTTGTTTGCTTCGTCACTCCCATTCTCTTTAAAACCAATCCAATTTTCGGAAAAGGGAGTTACCTTCTTCAAAACCCTTCTCTATATCTGCTCACTCACTCTTGTTATGCTATTCTTCTTCGATTTCTGCTTTAATGGACCCCATCTCTTATCCGTAGGTTTTTCCGTACCTTAATTCACAGTTCAATCACTTGGGGCATTAGACTTTTATCAATTTGTTTGTTTTTCTGCAGATTTAGGCACTGATTTGCTCCCTGTGTTCGAACCGGCCATGAAGCAAGACTCCCGATTACTATCTGTTTGGGAAGGCCAATCTCATGATGCATTCGTTCCAACTTCGGCTTCGGAAGCTCAATCTGGTTCTCACTTCCAGACGATGCTCGATGCTCAGGTCTCTGGGAATGGTAGTTCTAGCATGGTTGGAGGTGCTGTGGTGAATGGTTATATTGTTTATACTCGACAAAGGAAGGCTCGGCGTTTGTGTGATGGGTCTTCTGAGAACGAAAAGTTTAAGAGGCTAAAGACTTCTGTAGAACCGCAAACAAATGCGCACATTCCAGGGATGGAAGGTGGAGGCGGTGTGGAGGTAGATAATGTAGAACATAGAATAGAAATTGGAGTCAGTTGCAATGTGGAGAAGCCTAAAAGCTACAATGAGCTAGAGAACGAGCCCAGACAAGATCGTGCTGGGGAAGGTGGCTTCAATGGTGTTTCTGTAGTAATGTCTAACGGTGACGGTGTGCAGAAAGATGCTGGAGTTAAGACATTGAAGCGCTATTCTCGATCAGCTTTGAAAACAAAGGTTCGCTCTTCTGGCAAGGCGGGGAGTGTTTCAGAATCTTCCCAGGCTGAAAATACTAAATCAGACGGGAAGGTGAACGCTGCCCCCATCGCATTAACAGCTCCAAGAAACAAATTGGAATTGAAGATGTCGAAAAAGATTGTGCTCAACAAGAAGCCTATGACCGTCAAGGAGCTCTTCGACACTGGTCTACTGGATGGTGTTCCTGTAGTTTATATGGGCGGGAAGAAGGTTATTATTATTAGTCTATTTATTTATTTTTATGCGGATTACAATTGATGGATTATGGTACGTGTCCAAGTTACGTCCTTTGTTATTAAAGTAATAGTTTGACTAAAGTAGGACTTCCAAATTTAGTAATAGACATTTGAGTATTTTAGAGAAGTGTTGAGTCAAATAATTAATAACCTTTTATTAACGGGCTTGGCCTCCGGTAGAGTTCTAATCATCCTTTTGCCGATAGTTTAACTGGAAAAAAGTATCTTCAATATTGGTGCGTTTATATTACAGGCTTCGGGACTTCGAGGCATTATTAAAGATGGGGGAATATTGTGTTCATGCTGTCTTTGCAATGGACGCAAGGTCAGTTATGATTTTCTTTTTCACGTGCAGTGGATTTCTTAGTCTATACACTCCCTTGAGTTTTTGCCCCCTTCCATTTTCTGCCCACTTAGGTTATTCCACCTTCCCAATTTGAGATTCATGCATGCAAAGCGTATAAGCGAGCGGCACAATACATTTGCCTGGAAAATGGGAAGAGCCTGCTTGAGCTATTGAGAGCGTGCAGAGGAGCTCCCTTACATACTCTGGAGGCGACAATACAAAGCGTTGTTTGTTCTCCACCTGATGAAAAGTATTTCACTTGTAAAATGTGCAAGGGTGAGCTTAGCTTTGGTTACTCTTCGTCATTAACAGTTTTTTAGTCGGAGAGGTTATCACTCTGATCATGGAATGTTGAGGCAAAAGTCAAAGTAAACGAGGATAGAGTTTTATTTTATTTTATTTAATTTATAAGATTTGCTTTGTGTACTTATACTTTTCTTATAATTATTATTTCTACAGTATGTTTCCCTCCTTCATGTGTGGAAAGAGTCGGGTCTATATGCAGTTCTTGCAAGGAGACCAAGGAATCTCAAGACAGTTCTATTGATAAAGTGGGCAAAAGAGTCAGGTATTCGTTTTCTTCTCTCTCAGTTAAATAGGTTTTTCGTTTTCTTCTGATAAGTGTTCAGATGTATAATGCAATAAAGATTTAAAGGTGTCCTGCTTTATCATCATCATCATCTGATTAGAGTCCTGTTGTTTACCTAAAACTTACAATTAAAGGCTGTCTTTAAAGGGGTGGTGTTTTGTTAATCTTAGTCTTTGTATACCTACTTAATAAACATTAGAAATAATCTTCTAGACTGAATACGTTAGAAGTGCCACAGCTATCTGATGTAGCCTCTACCGGCCAATTTGAAAAATGGAAAAGAAAAGGAAACCATCCATATGTGATGGGGGTTTTTATTCCATGTTGCTATATTTCAGGTCTCCTAGAGCGCTTTCTGTTTCTAAGCAATCTGATATTTCTGAGAAGCGTATCTCTTCACAGATTAAGAGACACTGGAAGAAAAGGACAAAGTTGGTATTTATAACTATTATTTGTGTGTGTGTGTGTGTCACTAAATTTGTTGCAGAACAATTTTGTGCTCTCTTTGCAGTCTTTCATTTTAATTTTTTTGAACTTATATACTGCAAACTATGTTGTTACTTGTTAAGGTCGCCAAAATGGGTTAGCCGTGCAAAGTCTTCCAAGAATTCTTCAGTGACTATCCTATCACGAAAGAAGAGTCTTTGGAAGATGAAAAAGAAGTTTGTATCTTCCAGTTTTTATCTTTTTGGCAGCCATGATGTAATTTGGATATTTAACTTCCTTGTCAATCTTTAATAACCAAATCCTTTTATCAGGTCCTCCAAATTGTCAGTGAAATTGAAGACTGCAAGAACTACTTCAAATTCAATGCCTTCATCTTCACCAAACAAGAGTCACTGGAGGATCACTAAGAAGTTAGTTCTCTAGGTCCCTGTCACTTGCGTGTGTCTGGCTGTATTATTATAGTGTTACGATTTAAAATATCTCTTTTAATGATGACAATCTCCGTTTGTTCATCTGATATGCTATCCTCAAGGCACCAGCAGTTGCATAAGTTAGTCTTTGAGGAAGGTGGATTGCCTGATGGAGCTGAAGTAGCTTATTATGCACGTGGGCAGGTTATTTACATTAATTTCATGTGCAGGCTCATGTGCTTATGCCTTTTGCTGTGTTAACTGGTATATTCTGGTTGACAGAAACTGCTCGAGGGTTACAAAAAGGGCTTTGGAATAATGTGTCGATGCTGCAACTCTGAGGTATATTCCATTGACACTTTTCTTCTAAGTTTGTAAGCACTCCTCAAGATTATTTTATTTTAAACATTCTGCAGGTCAGCCCCTCGCAGTTTGAGGTCCATGCAGGCTGGGCTTCCCGCAAGAAACCGTGAGTTCTCCTACTTATTTTGGTTTGGGGCAGTATTTTTTTTTTTTTAAATTTTTGAATTGCTTGGTGCTGTTGAATTTTTTAAAACTGCAATACTTTTGGGCAGTTATGCATACATCTACACATCAAATGGGGTGTCTCTCCATGAGTTAGCTATATCTCTCTCAAAAGATCGCAAATACTCTGCAAAGGATAATGATGATTTATGCATTATTTGTTGGGATGGTGGAGATCTGTTGCTTTGTGATGGATGCCCAAGGGCTTTTCATAAAGGTCAGATATGCAGCACATAAAATTTGATAGACAAATTAACTATTTACTACTTTGGTCCTATTTATAAGGTGTCTTAAAAAAAGCAAAAAATGGTTCTAATTATAAGATGTCAAACAAAAAGATGAAACATTCACCAATAAGCGTTGGTCCTAGTGGAAGTGGCTATGGCCGTTTTAGCACTAGGTATCAAGTTCGGGTCTATGTAAATGCAAAAAAAGTCCTTAGGAGAGCTACCTCCTATTGGGCTCAACAATGCTCAAAAGTTCTGCTCTTTAACTTGAGAAAGTATTTTCACAAATAACAAGCTGACTCATGGTCTTCCTTTAATTAATAAGAGTATAATTGGAAAATTGGGAATTTTTTAACAAATAAAGCAACATAGTAACTTTTTAACCTTGATTAATGGGCACTTTATATAAAGCCCAAGAGATGACTCAGTATAAGATAAAGTAAAATAAAAGCACAATTAATAAAAGAACAGTTGAAGCACAAAAATAAAAATAAAAGCTATTTTAATAAAATAAAGTTCTAAGTCTCGTGTATCCTTTGTAGATGGCTTAATCTCTAATTTACAATTAATTACTAATATTATCGCTCCTAATTTTCTTTTCTCATTCTTCATTGTCTTCTATCATATTGCTGCATTTTTTATAAAGAAATAACCTTCATTTCATTTTTTTAAACAAACAATATTATTTTCTTAAATTATTTTAAATGATTTATTGAACTGGAAATAACACTTCCGAGAAATATGTGTTGTTTGACAAATAAAAAGATATTTATCTTCCAAGTGGCTTCTATATTCCATTGTAATGTACAGAATGTGCATCTCTGTTGAGCATTCCGCGTGGTAATTGGTACTGCAAGTTTTGCCAAAACATGTTCCAAAGAGAAAGATTTGTGGCACACAATGTCAATGCTGTGGCAGCTGGGAGAGTTGAAGGAGTTGATCCTATTGAGCAGATAACCAAAAGATGTGTGCGCATTGTCGAAGATGTTGATACTGAGCTCAATGGATGTGCTTTATGCAGGTACTTCATGGGGATTAAATGTCTATGTATGAGCTTGGTGTATATTTTTATTCTGCTGTTTGGAATCAGCAACTTTTACCTTGCTGTCTACTGCTATATTAAATTAATCATTTCCCAATCTTTTACAATTGTTAATTGTTAATTTTATATTTACCTGCACATTATGAAAATGAATTTGTGCATGTAGGGCTTGTGACTTCAGCAAATCAGGATTTGGTCCACGAACAATAATAATCTGTGATCAGGTATGCATGCTAGTCCATTGTCATGAAGCCTCAATATCAGCATGAAATAGCTTTTGTCAAGTTCCCAAGTTCATAAAAGGGCATGATTATTGATGCAAGTATTAAATTCCATGGGGATCCTTCCATGTTCATCTATTCTTGCCCTTCTCCATTTTTTCCAGTGTGATAAAGAATTTCATGTTGGCTGCTTGAGGGATCATAAAATGTCATTTTTGAAGGTATGCTGTGTGTTCCCATGTCTTAATATGTGGATACAATAGTTTGGATTCCAATCTTGTGTGTAGTCTACTGGCCATGTTATAATTTTTCTAGGTCTAATGACAGGAATTGCCAGAAGGGGATTGGTTTTGTTGCCATGATTGCTCAACCATACATTCTACTTTTCAGAACCTCCTGGTTGGGGGGGCTGAGAAACTTCCAGAACCTCTCTTGGATGTTATAAAGAAAAAGCAAGAGGAAAAAGGTTTAGAATCCCTTAGTGATATTGATGTGAAATGGAGGCTTCTTAGGGGCAAAATTGCTTCTCCTGAAACTAGGCCATTTCTTTTGCAGGCTGTCTCAATCTTTCATGTATGTTCTGTCATACTTCAATATAAATTGCTTCATCCTTTTGTTTTCCCTCTTGAGGGGATCAACATCATAATTCCTGCAGGTCTCCAATTATAGATCTGCTTTAATTCTTCCATGCAATATACTTTATTTTCACATTTTATTGGTTATGGATGGTGTTAAAGTTTGTTTTTAAGCTTATTCTCTATTTTTATCTATCTGTTTGCAGCCTGGATGATTTGTAATTTATTAATTGAAGTATTTAGATAAAGGTCTAATTGAAGGTTAAACATATATTTCCCGTTCAATATACAATATAAATGGCTCCATGTCAAAGTAACTGATGTTATTATATTAATATTATATCACAAGTCAGCTTCTGTGCAGGCTTATGCCTGAGCGTGTGTCTTCATGTTCTATGAACTCGGGATAGTAGATAGGGGTATGGCTTGTGTTTAGGGGCAGGGTTGATAGTTGGCTACAATGATTATCTCACTTTGAGAGAGCATTTGTGTTTTACCTTCTGGACCCAATTTTGAGTTTGCGACCATGGCATGTTTCAGGAATGCTTTGACCCTATAGTTGATTCAATTACTGGACGCAATCTTATTACGGCCATGATATATGGGTAAGAAATTCCTTAATGGTCATGTGTTTGCTTTTCTTTTGTCTCCATTAACATGCATCTCTCGCGTGCAGAAGGACTGTTCGGAGACAAGAGTTTGGAGCGATGCATTGTGCAATATTAATGGTCAAGTAAGAAGTGGTTATCATCGTTTGACTCTTTTTTTTTTTTTCATATTTATATTACTGTTCACAAATTGTTTTCTTGATATTGCAGTTCAACTGTGGTATCCGCTGCCTTGCTTCGAATTTTTGGAAGTGATTTTGCAGAGCTCCCACTAGTTGCAACTCGTAGTGTTAACCATGGAAAGGTGCGGGACTATAGCCTGGCAACCATTCTCGCATTAACCATATCTGTCTTCTAAAATCTTCCTTGCCCTATTTTTATTGTGACCCACACGTGTAAGATCTGTGCGTGCTTAGTAGGTCGTGGCATTCCATGACTGTCAGCAGTGGTATTTACTAGTGAAGCCAAAGCATGATCTCTCTATTGTGTTTTCCTGTAGATGGACTTCTAGTTGTTTGACCTGGTGGCATCATATTCTTCCTTCCCGTTGAAACTTTCTGGAGATGGTTTCATTATTTACTGTTGATATGGATTTGTATGGGGAAAGCTTATGTTGTAGTAGTGGATTAAGTAGACGTTTTTTGGTTTGACCTGACAGGGGTACTTCCAAATGCTATACTCCTGCATCGAGAAATTGCTGACTTCTTTAAACGTGAAGAACCTTGTGTTGCCAGCTACCGCTACTGCAGAGTCCATTTGGATTGAGAAATTCGGGTTCACGAAGATGACAGCAGATGAGGTATTCATATTGTTTGCTTCATTACCTAGAAACGTTGTGGTTAACATTTTGGCGCTGCTCCTACTTGAGCCTCCCAAAAGGATTTGACTGGGCTCTCTCTTTATGCTGCAGCTTAGCAACTACAGAAAGAACTACCAGCAGATGGTGATATTTCAGGGGACATCCATGCTTCATAAAATGATTGCTCCGTGTCCGGATATCAAAAATTCTTCATGAAAAAGATAAGTTTTAATTATAAAAGCGGAAAGTTTGTAACTTTTATTCAATGTGTAGCCAATTTTGAATCTGTACCTATCAGTTGTTTTTAAGTATTTAGAGTTTCATTAAATTAAGTTATGGTTGTGCTGTTGAATAAAACGTGGGTAGGTTGTACCGTATGACATTGCAATATTTCCTGGGCATGACCTTCATGGATGTCATGGTCAAAATGATGAAAATTCAAGGTATTTGCACCTTGCCCTACCTCCCTGATGAAATCACTTGCGGACTTGGCCTTCGATGGGTGGGGCGAAATTTTTGTATGGCTTTTTAAAAATTTTATTGGAAACTTTTAATTCGTTATTTAAATAAATTTATTTAAGTTAAAGAAAATCAACTCACTAATAATATATTTACCTTTCTAAAATTAAAAAGTAAAATGTAGTCAAATTAACATCAATCTCACGTATTTACATAAAGATTGCGCGGAAAATGCGCAAAAGCTGCAGAGATTTTACGATGCTTCAACGAAGATTGCACAAAAACTAACCAGGGCTTACAATAACTTGCCTAGAACTTTTACATAGATTCATTTTCTAATACTAATAACAACCACAATAATAATAACTATAGAAGGTCAATTTATAAAACAAAAATATTAAAATTCAGCATATGAAATCATGGAAGGTCTAGACACGTATCATCCTTTGTTGTCCTGATCACCTTCGGAAAGTGAAGAAGGGCACATGTTCACTTTTAATTTAATTCAGATCAAGCACAAAAGAAAATCGTTCGATTCGCTATGATCTGTGACTGGTTTTGTATAGGTGCGCCGCGGCAGCTTGAGTAAGCTCTGAGTCTGGGTCTTCAAAAATGAATTGTGAGACCGAAAGCATTTAAAAGGAATAATAGAGAAGAATTGTAATTAATCCATTTATAATAAGTTTGAATATTTCTTCAACCAGACTATGGATTCAAATCCAAGTATCGGTAATTGTTTAACTGAATTAACACAGTGCATTACAAGCCAAGAAGACAGCTTCTTGGATTTCTTACACACAAACAATCATATAGTCGTTCCGGATTGCCGCCGGCCAACATTATCTTTGCTTTCAAAGTAACCAAACAACAATATTGACCACTACAGAGAACCTTCAATCCTTCATATATTATATCATCTATCGCCTTATATTCTCTCTCCAATTTTTAGCTATCTTAGCTTCTCCACCTTCCAAAACTTCATTCATTTCTGCACATCTCTCTCTTCTCTTACCATTAAATTAACTTTTCATTGCTCTCACCATAATGCTTATAAAACCAGACATTAGAGAAGATAGGTCCATACATTTCTTGCCTTCCACTCCAATCTTGCGTCAGTCAGACCTGATCACATGCACATAATATAACCATACATACCTCACTCTGTCCTCCACGCCAAACCCGTTTCCTAACTCAAAATAACACAATCTCACGATCAAGCTAACTCATAAAGCTTTTTAACTATGGGATTCAACAGAATCCTCTTCTGGTCACTTGCCTTTTTCACTTTTTCCCTTTCCATCATCATTGTTCGCCATTACACGCCACCTTCCCTCACCACCATCGCTTCCATTAATCCTCAAAGAAATTTCAAACAACATGTTATCTTAAGTAGGATTATAAAGCTCAGTGGGGCTGAAGACTTTGTGTCTCTAATAACAAGATTTGCGAGGCTTCACCCCAGAAGGAAGCAGAAGGAAAAATGTGACAAGGCCACCTGGGATTCTGATCTTATTTTGGACTACAATGTGAGTCTTGTTTTGACGGTTAGCTTAAAGGATTGTGGAAATTTTAGCAGCATACAAAAGGCATTGAATGCTGTTCCCGAATCGAGTCCTGATAAAACGCTTATCATTATTGATTCTGGCATATACAGGTTCGTCATCTATCATTTAGTTTTGATAATTAATTTTTTCATTATTAATAAAGTTACTTTTTTTCCCCAAATAATCGATATTTTAACTGGGAAAATGATAGAGAGAAGGTAGTGGTGGAGGCAAGCAAAACAAATTTGATATTGCAAGGTCAAGGATATTTGAACACAATCATAGAATGGAATGATACTGCCAACTCGACAGGAGGGACCTTTAATAGTTACACAATTGGAGTCTTTGCTTCTAAGTTTCTTGCTTACAAGATTAGTTTTAAAGTAAGAAATTAAACAAACGTGTTGGTTTAATTTTATTTTACACCTTCAATTTTACGGATTGGGAAAATTAATCTAGTTTTAACATTTGATCATATGAAAATTGAGAATACGGCCCCAGCACCGTCGCCAGGTATGATAGGAGCACAAGCAGTTGCATTAAGAGTGAGCGGTGATGAAGCAGCATTCTACGAATGTGGAATGTATGGTGCTCAAGACACCCTCAATGATGATAGTGGAAGACATTATTTTAAAGAATGTTTCATCCAAGGATCCATTGATTTCATATTTGGGAATGCAAGATCTTTTTACGAGGTAAATTTCAATTGGGAAAAATAATATTAAAGTCTCAAACAAAGAATTTATAACAGTTAAATTTTTGATAAAATTTTTAAAAAATTAACTGTAAATATTGATTCAAACAGTTAAAAATTTTAAGAGTTTTAATTGTAAATAAGAGATTTAAATTCTAAATATAACTTTTAATTTGTAATTGCAATCCTTATTTACACCTATCTAAATCAATATTTATAATTTATTTTTCAAAAAATTGTCAGAATTTAACTGTCATAAATTTCTTGTTTTGAGACTTTATTATCATCATTCTCCCTTTTAATTGCCTTTGCTTCAAAGAAACTTATCCTTGATGATCATATCGTATTTATATAAATAATTCTTCAGAACGATGCATCATGGCAACTGTGTGCAGTAATGTGGCATTATTCGCGCAATCGTCAAAATTTACGTAATTTATTCCCTAAAATCTTTGATTACTTTATGCTTATTCCTATAAGGCCACCTGAATACACGATTATTAGGGGATTAGTTGAAATTATGCAATAGTTTTATTTGGAATGAAATTTCAATGTCTGTACTTTTGAAAATAGTTGATAGTTTAAAACATTAATTAAGATAGTAAATACAAAAATGAGTGCATTATGGCTTTTGATGCTAGGATTGTACCATAAACTCTATATCAGCTGAAGAAGGAGCTATGATTTCTGGGTCCATCACAGCTCAGGCAAGACAGTCGGAGAATGAAGAAACTGGATTTTCATTTGTGAATTGTAAGATTATTGGGAGTGGAAAAGTGTGGCTTGGAAGAGCATGGGGAGCATATGCCACTGTGGTCTTCTCGAAAACATTTATGTCTGAAGTTGTTGCTCCTGAAGGATGGAATGATTGGTCTAATTCTACCAGAGACATGTTTGTGATCATTATCTCTTCATTTTTTTTTCCTAATCCCTCTCTGTCTCTTCTATGTTGTAGTCCAAACGCACAAGTTGTATTTTTTTTTTTTTAACAGGACTGTCTTTTTTGGAGAATATCATTGTCTTGGAGGTGGAGCCAACTACTCGTCTAGAGTCACATATGGAAAGCAACTTAAAGACTATGAAGCAGGACGCTTCATGAATGTTTCATATATTGATGGAAACGATTGGCTTCTTGATCATCGAACAAACTTAGATGTTCTTCTAATGTCAGAAAAATAGGGGGGAAAAATCTTCTCTCTTCTTGAATTAGTAAGTTAATAGTAAACCAATATATTGTTTACGCCGCTTTAATCTAACTCGCACATGATAATGGTGAGGAGGAGAAGATAAGGTTTAGCTAGATTGAAACCTTCTTTTTAGAATATATTGTTCATTATTGATTTGTTTAGAAATGTTGTCTTTTAGTTGACTTCTTCAGTCTTCATTGTGAACCGTCCTATGAGCGACAATAGTGATTCCAGAATTATTCACTTCTTTGTATAAATGCATACAATTCAAGCATGCAAATGTTTTAATTAAATTGTTACATTAGTGATTTAATTCTTGAATTTGGCTAAAACTGATTATAAGTTTTGAAATGATTCAATTTACTCATTGATGGCAAATAACATGGAAAAAGAGGAAGGCCGATGTGACGGAGAGAGCAATTTGGGACTTGCATGTGGGAATCTTGTGGGTGACTATGGATGAGAATGCATGAGAGGGAAGGTGGGGGATGTACATGATCCATTGGATATAGAGAAAGTTTTGCACGTGATACTAAAAACTGTGTGATAAATGTCCATGTTACATTTATACATTAGACAATCCTACTTGAAAGTTTTACTTTTATATAAATTAGGCAGGGTCATAACTATTATATTATACATGGTCCAAAATAATTATTTATATAAATATAACTATTAAGATATCTACCCTATGTTTCTTTGATGCATAGGATATGCACAAATTATGCACGAATTATAAAATAGATGTGCACGAATTATGAACAATTGTGAATTAATATAACCTTAGTAAAAAATACCAATGAAAATTATTGTAATAGGAGAACATGGGACATTGGAGATTTTTCAAAAGTCATGGGCCTTTGTTGACCATGGGCCGAAGCCTGCATGGCAATGGATCAACTTGGCCCATTTTGTTCTGGATGAAGGATCTGCAGTAGGAGTGAAGAGACCCTTCTCCTTCCACCGCTTCAAGAGCCATTTCTGCAACTGCAACCGCTCTTGGACGAGGATATTGTTCTTTAATTTTAAGATCGCGCAGGTTAAAACTCAGCCGTTCAGATCTTTATTCATTTATTTCTTTATAGTTTGTAGTGTTATTATCGGAGTGACTCCGTTATGATGAGTGGCCACGATTTGACATGCATTAATTTAGTTTATACTAAATATATATTAAAATCTAGGTATATAATTTTTTCACTCTGGATTTTAATAGATTGAGTCCATATTAAACTGAAGATAAGCCAAATCCGTTTGAGTTTTGCCCCCTTAATCTTTGATGTTATGAGGCAATAACATTGAATATAGCTGTAATACGGATTTGGTTAATGATGAACCCATTATTTTTTGTGATTTTTAGAGGCTTTTAGACTTAAAAATGCTCTTTAATTGCGATAAATTAAGGAAAAATGAGTCATGTAGCCTCACTTAGTTGTTGTTTGTAAAAATACAGGAAATGAAAAAAGAAGGGACCCAAAATGAGATTAAAATAAGAGAATTCGAATAAAGTTCCAAGAATAGGCCCAAGAAAACTCATCCACCCATAGATGAAGCACAAAGACACTCAACTCGTCATGAATGAACAAGGTTTTAGAGCTGGTTCTGACCTCAGTTATGTCTAGTCACGGATGAAATATGAAGAAGCATGATCGATTGCAGATGAAGAGGGGATTCTCTCTCCTTGACCTTCTGCCGCAAGTAGATCAGCTCAAGAGAGCCACGACCGTGTGTGGATGAAAGCCTAATGGGGACATTCCTTGCCCTTTTGCCGTGCGCAAATGAGCGTGCTGAAGGCACGACCACCTATGGACGAAGATCCGTTACACATGAAGGCCCATATTTAAATGAAATACTTTCTTTAATCCTATTTATATAACAAAAGAAAATAATTTTTTTTAATTATATTTATAAGTCACGTCATTAAATTGTTATCACAAATTTTTCTTTTACTCTCTATTGAATGTTAGAAAGAGAAATATATTATTGAAATATGTATATTTAATATAGACAAAGTTGAGAATTTATTAAATTTTAAGACAGAGTTAATGAGTTTTAAAGTTTTTCTTGATACTCATGAAATATATTGAAAGTGACTTATAAATAAGACTAAGAAGTAAATGTGAATCGTCAGATCCAACCTGAAAAGATGTAAAGCATCAAGATTAGGGCTCTTTGGGGTGCAAATTATATAAGAAAGCCTTATAAACACTTGGGATACATTCATTCTCTTGGATGCAATCTGGATGACTGAGTATGGAGCTTGAGAGTGATTTGTTTGATTTAAAGGGATTTTCTATTCTCCTACTTTGTTCTTTACTTGATTGTTTGATGGATTTGGAGATTATTATGGCTAAGTACATGTTTAGTTTCTAATTCCCTAATTAGGGTAAGGTGTAGCTTGGCTATGATGTTTCTATTCTTTTCTTGCTTTACTTTTTATTCCTATTGGTTTGGATTTAATGTTTTATGACCATTTCAAAATATTTTATCAATTTCAATTGCTTTTCCTTATTTTATTTTTGAGTTTATATCCAGCTAATATATTCTTTGTTGACGGGGCTGTTCTACAAACTAGAAGAAGAAAAGCAAATCTAGATTTAGGAAAGTAGTAAAAACCAACTAGATTAAAAATAAATTAGGGGTTTGTGGTGGTTTTAATTGTAGCTTAATAATTTAATTAGAGGGTTAAAATAAGTGAAAGCTAGTTTAACTTCAATTAAATACAACTTAATTTGCTGGAAGGTAATAATTCACATTTGTAATGCTGGTTATTTGAATTGAGCAAGAATGATTTTGGTAAATAAAAGTAGGACACTCCGATCAGTGAACCTTATCCCTTACACTTCATTGTTGAATGAATCATTATTTAACTTTTTTTGTTGTTTTATTTTCATCATTTCAATTTAATATTCTATTTTTTAATTAATTCATAATTGTTGCTTTCGAATGATAATTATCAATATTCTTTTTTGGATTTGACCCAAAATACTTTGAATTTATTATTACATTGATTCCGTACACTTGCAGAAGCCAATTAGTTAAAAAAATTGTGCAATGAAAAGAGTTACATTGATGCAATTCAAAAGGAACATGGTTTATGAATTTTATTGGAATGCAAGAAATGAAGCAAGTAGCAACAGACCAGGAGATTACTGTAGCAAAGAGTCTTCGCTCTAGTTTGCTGGATGTTATAGAAGAACCAATGCAAAGAAGTCTTTTCCCCCAATTGTTGTATGGAGAAGGATATGGCTTTTCTACTCTGGTTGTCTCTGGGGATATAAAACTTGGGAAGCTTGCTTGGAGGATTCATCACAGGAGGTTGCTTAGTAAAATGCAATGGATGCCACTTGGATGGGATTAGATTAGACTGGATATTGACGGTTCTGTCAATAGTTCTATTTGGACATGCTTCCTGCGAGGGGCTCATCAAAGACAGTGAAGGAAGATGGAAATACTGTTTTGCTAAAAAGCATGGCTACATCCCGATCATGATGAAGGCTAGACTCTTCGCTTTGCAAGAGAGCTTACAGCTTTGTTGGCTTCACGGTTGAGAGAAAGTTAAACTCCTCTCTAATTCCTTGGAGGTTATTCTTGAAATCATGAACATTCATGACGAGAACCATCTGACTTTCAACATTGTGCAAGATATCAGGTATCTCTTAATGAGAGATTGGGGGCTTATTTACTTACGAGCATTTTTACAGAAGCTTAACGTTGAGATTAACGTTTAGAAATTAAGCTTAACTTTTGTTCAATGAGAAAACAGTGAGCAGGGTCATAAAACCGTTATTGAGATTAACGTCTAGAAATTGATTCAAGGGTTTATTTAAAAGACCTAATGAAAAAAAAAAAAAAAAAACGCCTGCCAACTTAACGTAATTAACTTGTGAAGCTTGGACGACAAGTATTAATTCCCAAGAACTTTGCCAACAGCCAAAATCACGTGGTTTTCATTTTTTGTCAGCTTCTTTTTATGCCGTTGTAAATCAGGCATCAACAACTCAGCAATACAAGAAGTCAGACCCCAAAAGCTGAGTTAGTGCAAACGCTCTTCATGCATTAATTTTGGCCGAGTCGTGGCTTTTTGCTCCATTATTCATCTTCAACCCTTTGACATGTTGTGTTATGTCATCAATTAGCAGTGACATGTCGAGAAAAGAAGATCCACCTTTCTCCACAGCCTTCTCCGCCTTCTCCGCTAACAATCTCGCTCTTTCTCTTATTCTTCTGCTGTCTTCATCTTCACCCAATGCTTTCTCTACAGCCTCCTTCACTTGTTCCCTTCTCACTTGAACTGCGCCAAAATCCTCTTCCTCCCCAAGATGCACCACACGCTCACATCCCACCCTCACGCCGGTCTGCACCACTTGCACGATAACCTTCTCATTATAGAACTGCTCTCCAAACAAAGGAAACGTTATTAATGGTACCCCACTGCATATTCCTTCCAGCGTTGAATTCCAACCACAATGTGTTAAGAAAGCTCCTATCGCTGCATGTGACAGTATTAACACCTGAGGTGCCCAACCTCTTATTAATATTCCTCTTCCTTTCACCCTCTCCTCTAATCCATCTTCTGACAGTAATTTCTCTGCTTCGTCTCTTTTGTATGCACCTCTTAGCACCCAAATGAATGGTCTTTCTGTAGCTTCCAGTCCCAAACCGAGCTCCATCAATTGTTCTGGTGTTACTCGATTTAAGCTTCCAAGGCAGACATAGATGACAGATCTTGCCGGCCATGAATCAAGCCACTTCGTATAATAATGGCCTGCTTCTTCGTTGTCATTTGAGTCATTCTTGCCTCTTTGAGCCTTGTCCAAGTTGGTCTCGTTGGACAGTGAGACGGGGCCAATACACCAGACCTTTTTCCCGGTGACTTTTTTATACTCTTGCACGTACCTTGCTTCTAATTCTTGGAAGCTGTTCACCAGCGTTCCAAATGCGTCTCCTTCAGATTCTCTTACCATCTCACGAGCAATGTTCAGACCTTGGTTTTTAGCATTAGGATTGAACGCCCCCGGAAGCTGATATTTTTTAAATTCAATTCTGTCAGGCAATCCGGGCACAAAGAATGGTTCTGAGTCCGACACATTCTTATAGACCTTAGAATCATGCAGACAGTGATTGCATAGTAAGAAGAAACAACTAGTCCCATCAAATATTATTCTTGGGACTTGGAACTTTCTGGCAACATCAGCAGCAGGTAGAACATATCTGTCAGATATTATGCAGTCCGGAGTGGGATCAAGCTTTTCAAAGAGGTCTTCAAGTGGGTGCTGCAACAAACACAAAGCTCTGAAAAAGTTCCCCTGAAGATCCATGGAAGGCAGAGTATCTACGCTCTCATGTCCCTCAGGTATTCCGGACCCCGCATTTGGGAATCGTATAAGTTGAATTTGGATTGGTGAGCCAAGTTGAATCTCTCTGTCGATGTTGGCACTGACTCGAGCAGCATTGAGGGGTGTGGTCACTATGGTCACCTTCACGTGTCGCCGAGCCAATAGTCGAGCCATGTCCACCATGGGAAGAAGATGACCTGGTGCCATTAAAGGTATCACCAGAAAGTGCAGCTCAGGCTTGTACGCCATGGCAGGGAAATTCCAATGTGAGACTTGAACTCGCAGATTTGGGTGGTAAGGTAGTGGAGGCGGAGTTCCTGTGGGCTGGCTAAGTGGCCTCGGGTACTTCTATCCCATCATAAAAATGACGCAAGAGCTTACGTCAAATCATAAAAGGTAAGGACGGAAAAACACAGGATCACATTCGTCGGTGTTTGGTTTCAGTGTTCATTGCATAGAATGCATGTCTGTCACATCACATACCATACATGCTTCCTCCAGTCCTATTTATAAATCATTTCTACCAACTTTATCAATACCAATACAATAAAAGTACAAAGAATAAAAATAAATAAAATTCCAAACATGCCCCTATAAAATAAATTTAAAAAGTAATGTCCTGTTACTTTTTTTCTCTCATGAAGGGTAATTTTAAAAATATCTCTCAAATATTATCTAAAAAGACGCACCATGACTTATAAATGGGACCAAATGCACCTTCTAAAATGGGACTTATAAATGGGACCGGAGGGAGTATCTGATACATCGATTTTTTTTTAAAAAATATAAAATATGATATATTTATAAAAAAATTACAAAAATATTAAAAATATAATTTTCATTTAAAAAATATTCCACCTAACATTCATATACAGTTCTTTATAAAAATATTTAAAAAAATATAATCATTAATTATATTTTAATTCCATCGCTACCCAATTATCTACGGCCAAATCTCTGTTGATAGTTTTATATCTAGGGTTTATATGTTAAAATATTATATTATTATATTTTTATAATTGAAAAATATAATTTTTATCCCTTTATTATATTTAAAACTTATTTTTTTAAGAAAAATTTAATCTTTAACTTTAAAAACAAATTACAAAAATATATCATAAACAAAAAAAATTAATATCATAATGTTTAATAAAATTTAATTTCTTAAAAATAATTTTAAAAAATTAACTTAAAAGTATTAACTCATAATTTAAAAATATCATATATGTATCAAAAAATAAATTATCTTAAAATTAAAAAAATATTATTTCAATATTCTATGATTACATATCAATAAAGTATTAATAAATATCGATATTGAATATGATATCAATAGAAATATATAAGGTAATTTGAAATATTAATGTTTCATAGATCATGAGTCTCATGATAAATTTTAATTTAGATAATTAATTTATAAAATTTTAAAAAAATTAATATTAAATTTAATGATTTAAATTGAATTACCTAAATTAATAATAAAATAAATTTTTATAATTTTTATAATAAAAATAAACATAAAAAATAAAATTTAGAAATATGAGCCGTCCAAAAATTTTATGCTCATCACCAACCCGAATATTCGGGGCACATAAACAAGACGTAACGGATGATGTTGGGGATGTAATCCAAGTGAGGTTATAGGTGCAGAGATATGTCAGTCAAACAAAATCTCTTGCTTATCGTGCGAAGTTGCACGTGATTTTCAACGGATGGGACAAGAACCCAAAGGTTTTAGGTTTAGAAAAAATGACAATGAAGAACTCTATAAAAATATTAATTTTAATTAAAGATTATAATATTTTAAAATTTTAAAGATAAAAATATAATTTGTGAGATGAGATTTATTAACATCACTTAAAAATTTAGTAACTAATTTAAAAAAATTATTAATATATATTGTTAAAATATGAAACCTAATTTAGAAATTGATTGTTTAACAAAAAACGTCACTTGTAAATTTACTAACCCAACTTAAAATATTTTTTAACATATATTATAAAAAAATGAAACCCCACTTAAGAATAAATTATTTAATAAAAAATCACATTTTGAATAATTTATTTTTTATTAAATAATTAATTTTTAAATGGGATTTTATTTTTTTATAATATACGTTAGAAATTTTTTTAAGTCTGATTAGTGAATTTTCACGTGGTGTTTTTTGTTAAATGATCGATTTTTAAGTAAAGTTTCATGTTTTCACAGTATACGTTAGAAATTTTTTTAAATTGAGTTAATAAATTATCAAGTAGAGTTTCATGTTTTTATAATATACGTTAGCAATTTTTTCAAGTTGGATTAAAAAATCTCCAAGTGACGTTAGTAAATTTTACCTCAAAAATTATATTTTTTTATTCCAATTAAAGACTATTGAGATTTATAAATATTATGATCCTTAATTGAGATTAATGTTCTTAGATAATCCTTGATTGTCATTTCCCTTTAGATTTTTCTCTTGTGGGTACATAAAAATTAATATTTAAAAAATGAAGTACATATCGGCATATTTGTTTTTTGAAAATTATGTTGAGCTAATATGGCTTTTTTTATAATATACTCTTCATACATTTTCTCAATAATTACAGTAATATGATAAAGTATTTTTTTAATTTAATTAATTACAAAAATTTTAAAATTAATTTAATTTTGTTGTTTTTGATGAACTTACATGTAAGATTGTGATAAAAGATTTCTTATTATATTGAAGGGAACTTATTTAAATTAATTGAAAGAGTTAAATTAATTTATTTTAAAGTTTTAATTTTGAATATTAAAATATGCTAATAAATAGTTCTTCAAAGTTCAAAAATATTTCTATTTTTATATTCAAAATATAAAAATCTTACAATTACTTAATTAAAATTTCCTAAAGAAATCACTCAAAATTTTATATGAAAATTATCAAAAGCATTGTAGATATTTTCTTTGTTAAAAAATATATAAGATATTTTTAAAAGAATTAGATGTTAAAAAATATACGGTATTTTTACTCTTTTGAGATATAATCATTGTCTCTTTTCTAAAAGTGAACCCTAGTTATGAATGACTTTGTATGTATTGAAGTGTGTTTAATCAGAGTAAATATGAAAAGATAAACTTAGTTTAAAAGTAAGTAATTACTCTCTCAATTAAAAAATGTAAGATATTTTTAACCAAATCTCAGCCTTAATAAAGTAGTTACTTATTTTTTAATTAATCTTATTAAATACTCTATAATAAATATAAAGTCATTATTAATAGGGATACTTTTTAAAAAAAGACAATGACTACACCTCAAAAAACTAAAAATGCCTTATATTTTTAAACATCTAATACATCAAAAAATGCCTTACATTTTTTAATTGAGAGAGTATTTTATTGGAGGTGGGATTTGATTAAAATTGCTTTATATTTTTTAACAGGTGAAGTAAAGTATATATTTCAGTGTCAAAAAATATAAAAAAAATTATTAGCTTATTATATATAAATTATTAATAATATTGTTTTCTTTCTTTTTCTTAAAATAAGGAGGGAATATTAGTCAATGGTTTAATTGGATGACCAGTGGTTGATGGAGTTTTTCTGTGAAAGAAAAAAAAACTGCCAAACAAAAAATGATTTAGTTTTTTCATACACTAAAGTAACTAATTTTTGGAAAAAAATATATTAAAGTTTGGGTCTAACTTTTAAGTCTAAATAATTTTTATTTAATTTAAAAAATATAATATATTAAGAGTAGGGAATATAAAATTGTAAAAATTATGTCCTTTACTCGTAATTTTTCCTGAAATGAAGCTCAGATTGTCTTACGTCCTATTATGGTATAAGATGGGGACAATACTCATGAGTTTTTGAAATTTGATGCACCTGTAAAATTTGTGAAATTTTGAAGCAGAATCCAGCCACCCCACCACATGGATGGGGTCGTGGGGATGTGCACAGAGCAGATTCAGTGAAGGAAGCCAAACAAAAACTGGCAGGGCCGTATAAATTGCTACTGTCAACTGACAGATGATTTGCAGAACAAGAGAAGTAATTTGGCAAACGTAAGGTACGATGGCCCATGACAAGCTGTCTCTGCCAATTCTAAGCCAAATCAATGTCGTCTTCTCTTTTCCACCCCCAATAAGCTGATGAACTTGAGTTTGCTTCTGCCCTTCCAAAGACGGAAAAGCAGACACATACAGTGCTGGAGACATCGATTCAGTGCGGTACGGATAATGTTATATGTTTTAACGTGTGTTTGGCTTTCACTTTACCCTGTGGAGATTTATCTCCCTTCTTCCTTGAAAATTATTTTTTCCCACCTCGTCAATATCAATATAAAAAAAATATAAAAAAATAAAAATATATAAAATTTTAAATATACTCTCATATAATAAATTTTAAAAATAATATCATAATATTATATTATTTTTTTAAAAAAATAATTTAAAAATATTTTTAAATATTATTGAAAAAGTTGTATTATAATTTATAAATAAAATTAAACAAATTTTTTATAATGTGCTTTATAAATAGAATTGAAGGGTGTAATCTTTAATAAAAATAAGTGCAATAAAAGTCAATTATTATAATAAAATATTTTATTTGTATAAAAATATAAGATATTTTTTAAAAAGTTGGACGTTTAAAAATGTAAGGTATTTTTAATTTTTTAAGGTATAATTATTGCTTTTTTTTAAAGTGCTTCTATTGATAGTGACTTTATATTTATTATATGATGTTTGATATGGATAAATATAAAAAAAATAGGATTATCTTGAAAGTAAGTAACTATTTTATTAGGGATCAAATTTGATTAAAAATGCCTTACATTTTTAAACCGAGAGAGTATTTGTTTATATTTTTTTAAATTCAATTTAATAAATTAAAAGTAATTTGAATTAATGATAATTTACACTTTTAAAATGTATTTTTAAATAGACAATGACAATTTTTTTATTTATACTGATTTATAATTTTTTATATAAATATAATGTATTAAAAATATTTAAAGATGTGAAAAAATTTAAAATAACATAAAATTTAATATGTTAAATAGTATGAATAAAAAATATAAAGTTTAATATGCTAAATAATATGCAGGGAACTGAATTGCAATGCTACTAAAGCATCATCCAACTAAAAACCACCAACTCTAAAATTTGAGCTCACACAGACATTATAAGATATCCCATGATAATGGGAGATAGGATCACAATCATGAATAAACAAAAGAAACTCATCCTGAGCTGGTTTGGAAAGTTATCAGTAATGATGGCCAATAGTGGTTAAAAAAATATGACTATCATGTGGGAATTCTAACGCACCTAAAAAGAATTTAAAATGTTGAGGACCAAGAAGGCAACTGAAATTTTGGTAGATCCATATCAATACACAGTCAAGGAGCCACGTGGTATTCAAAATAACTCCTTGTGCAAACAAAGAGAGAACAAAAAATTAAGGGTAATATGGTCAATTAAAAAAATAGGTGAAAATTATTTTCCCTCATTAAATGCTTTAACTCATTTGGCGTTTTAAATCCATCTTAAAGTCAAGTTTCAAAATACACTTTCAAACCTCATTTTAATCCACATCTCAAAAGTCATTTTGTTCAATTAAAAATTTGTCAAACAACTTTTCATATATGAAAAACTCAAAACTACTTTTCTCATGCTAAAAGCTTTTTATTTAAACGGTGCCTTAGTTGTCAAAGTTACTGCATTGTTGGTAAAAAATAATGTACATGTCTCAGGTTAGTCTCTATTTAATTTGCATCACAATTCATATTTTGAGCTCAGAGCACAGCTCACAATTGGTAAGCGGTAAGTGAAGAGAGGTCATGCAGTAAGTTCCGCGCCAGCAAACCAAACATTAAATCAAATTTTGTTATAGCACAAGTTATTAATTGGAAAAGAGAATAGGTTCATTTCAATTTTCAAGAGGCTAGTCTATTATTCCTCAATTCCTATATATAAGATATTTTTAATCAAATTACACAAGCTAATTAAAGTTGATTATTTAATTAAAAATACAGTAACATTTTAATTTTGTTCTTAATTATTGTAAATAAAAAATGAATCCTTTTTTCACAGTAAATTAATAAGAGTATTTAATTTTTTTAATTTAATAAGGATATAATGATCTATTCATTAAAAATATATTAACAACCTCTTATATTTAAAGATAAATAAAATCTAAAAAATCTTTTATATACAAAGACGAAAGGGGGTATGTATTTGTCACTCTTAATTTGCATCATGACTTGAGTTTTAGAGCATGTGGCACAAGTTACTAGGAGATAGAGAGAGTCCTTCTGGAAACATAAACTCAAGAAAACATGCGCAAACGTTAGGAGTACAAGTATTAACTACATCTACTTGAGAATAGCCTATGATTTATGGGGTGACTGAAGAAGTTAAGAATGAGAATGATTTTAATTGTTTGAGGCTTGAATTTGGAAATTAAATTGTGGAAATAGGGATAGGAAGTGAATTGGGAGGAAAAATTAAGGATAAACTGCACTCATCTATTTATAAGCAAGGTTTTAGATGATGGAGTGAGTTCTTATCTACAGATAAGGTAAAACTCTTAAATAAGTTTATGAGTTTAGAATTTTCTTTTTTAATAAACTAGTCTTTTTTAATGTATTTTCTTTTTAAATTTTTGCTCATAATTTTAATGCTTTTATTAAAAGAGAAGACTTCATGTGGAAAGTTCTCTTCTGCAGGAGGTAAGAGTGAAGTGCCACCATTAAGAATATACATTAATTACAAAACAAACAGTAAAAGGAATATTAGTTCAAAGCTATATAAGCAAATGGAGGGACCATTGACATGTTCAAGTGTCAACCTTATTCTCCTTACCTGCTTGTTGGAGGATGTCTTCAATCAGCAGACTTATGTTACGATGAGAAGATCCCCCATTCTCAACAGCTTTCTTTGCCATTTCACTCAGTTCTTTGGCCTTTTTCCTTCTCTCTTCAATTTCTTCTCCTTCGTTCATGACCAGGCATATTGCCTTCTCAACATCTTCCTTCTTCACCACCACACCAATCTTATCCTCCTCCCCCCACTTCATCGGAGCTTCTACCCCAATGCTCACTCCAATCCTTAACACTTGACAAACCAGCTTCTCATTTAGAAATTGATCTGCAAATAATGGCCAAGTCACCATTGGCACGCCTGCACTTATCCCTTCCAAAGTTGAATTCCAACCACAATGTGTTATGAATCCTCCTATCGCAGAGTGGGACAATATCAGCACTTGTGGAGCCCAGCCTCTGATTAAAAGGCCTCTTCCTTCCATCCTTTCCTCAAATCCATCTTCCTTGATCCAACTTTCTAGCTCTTCTAACCTATTCCCTCCTCTAATGACCCAAATAAATGGTTTCTCTGAAGCTTCCAAGGCCAAGGCAAGCTGTGCTAGTTGTGAAGGAATGAGGTTGCATAAGCTTCCAAGACAGACGTAAACCACAGACTGAGTTTGCTGGGAATCAAGCCACTTCAAGCACAGCTTTTCATTGATGGAGGCCTTGTTGCCTCTCTGTGCTTTATCCAATTCATCCTTGTTACATAGTGAGACTGGCCCAATACACCACACCTTATCCTTTCGTTCCTTCTTGTAATCCTCGACATATTCTCCCTCCAACTCTTCAAAAGTGTTTATGATTGCACCATACGAGCTTGTCTCAGCATCAACCATCTGTTCATGAAACTCCTTTAGTCTATCATGTTCCATTGGTAATGGTATTTGAGATTTGTTCACCTCAAAATGGTGAGGTATGCCAGGCACAGTGAAGAATTGCGATTCTGATGTTATGCTCTCAAGAACCTTGAAGGTACGAATCTTGTGCAAGCAATGGAGGCAGAAGCAAGAGAATCCATGGAAAGCAATTCTTGGAATGCCGTGTTTCTGAGCAATTTGAATTGTCCAAGGAATGCACATATCGGAGATAATGCAACTTGGCTGAGGCGTCAGTTCTTCAAATAGCTTTTCTGCTTGAGTTTGAAGCATGCTGATTGCATCGAAGAAATTGAAGATCATGCCTAGATCTAGAGATGTCATGTCCATATTCTCACACCCTTCAGGGAGTCCAGCTTCTTTGGATGGAAACTGGAGATGTACTACTCGAATTGGAAGACAAGAATGAACAGCACGAGATAGAACAGAATCAAAACGGGAAGCATTTTTTGGTGTAGTGAATATCGTGACTATCACACCACGTTGTGCTAATAGCCTTGTGATATCAATCATCGGGATAAGGTGGCCTTGGGCCATCATGGGAAACAAGATGAAGTGAGGATTGAAAGCTTGGGAAACCATGGCCACTAGCTGTAGAGGGACAAATCTTTGTTTTCGGTTTCAACTTCTTATAGCAAGGAATCGTGCTAGCTTTTTCTCTCTTTTATATACAGAAATGATTAAAGTGTATGATACGTCTACCACTGAATTGGGGATGCAAGAACATACATAAGGGCATTGGATTGTATATATGGGGGTGAGACTAGAAGTGTATGGATGAAACCAGATTGTAGAATTTTGTGGACACTACGAACTTGTTTTTTAGTTGTGTCATAAGAGTTCGTCCCAGGATGCAGACAAAATGATTTAAAGTGACGTGATATTTCAGTTCTTTGTATATGTGACTTGGAAAATTTAGATTTGCCTTGTCTATGGATCCTCTTTTCTTGCAAACACAGCAGGAACAATATTCTTTGGACAAGGAACTAGGTCCAACCAAACAAATGTGGAGGATTCGTAGCCAATAGCCATTCTCAATTATTTGTTCGCATGCATTCTATCATTCATTTTTTTAATCATGTAAAATACTATCTACATTCGAAATATAGCCACATTAATTTACCTTCTATTATATATATCTTTTGAGTTATGTCCCATGAATTTTTCTTGTAAATGAATTGTTAACCAGCTCCATCTATAAAATACTTCTGGGTCTTATATTTTAGCTAACGCAAGATTTTTAAAACTTCATGTGTTATAGCGATATAGTTATAATTTTGTTAGACCACAGTCTTACCTCCGTTTTCACCTTTTTCTAAATAAAAAAGCTAAAAGTATCCATCATTTTCTAAATGACAGTAAGAAAATCAAATGAAGTTGCTGCTTATTTAATCCTGATCAGCTTGGAACTCTAACATAGTCAAGTCATTTCAATAATTATCTTTAAAGAGTGGTATGATATTTCAATTTGAAGCTTTGAGCCGTTGATAGTAAATTGCATTTGAAACATGAATGGCGAATGATTTGACGAGAAAATTAAATCAGGGGAAGTTCTGGAGGTGGTGTGACCTTTCTGGGAGAAATATAGGATATGCGCTGCTATGTGTGAAAGAGAACAAGTTGTTTCCTTGAAGAGCACCGTAAGTGGGGCATATATCCATAGGAATGGTTCTTTGACAAAAAGAAAAGAGACAAAAAAGAAGCAAAAAAATGTGGCCATTCAAAGTGAGAATAAGAGGCTTGAAAGTGATTTATACTAAATCTTTTACAGCCAGTGAAGCTGTCAATTTTATGACAAATCTCAGCACTAAGCGAAAAATCCTGTCAAAAAAACCAAAGCATTAATCTTAACCTATACAGATTATAGCACAAAACATACACTATTATAGCCAGAATTTTTTATGCGTCACTTGTGAGGAGCTTTCTACTTTACTGTTGAGAGGGATTTAGTTTCAAGAAAAGCTTTTAAAATGAACTTTTTAAAATGAACTAAATAATTTCAAAAATACTTCCCATCAATTTCACATGGGCTCAGAATTCATCTCACTTTTGACCAGAGCATCATTAAAACTAAATGCAATGGAGGCAAAAGCAAGAGAACCCATGGAAAACAATCCTTGGAATGTGATGTTTTTGAACGATTTAAATTGTCCAAGGAATATACATGTCGGATATTATGCAGCTTGGCCGAGGTTTCGATTCTTGGAATAGTTTTTCTGCTTGGTTTTGAAGCATGTTGACCGCATCAAAGAGACTATAGAACATGCCTGTGGGTGCCATGTCAAAATTCTCACACCCTTCAGGGAGTCCGACTTCTTTGGAGGGAAATTGGAGTCAGATTGAACAGCATGAGAAAGAACTAAATCAAAACGAGAAGCATTTTTTGGTGTGGTGAATATAGTGACAACCACCCCACGCTGTGCTAATAGCATTGCAATGTCTATCATAAGGATAAGGTGGCCTTGAGCTATCAGGGGAAACAAGGTGAAGTGAGGATTACAAGCTCAGGAAACCATGACAAGTAACTATAGGCAAATGAGCTTTGTTTTTGGTTTCAAGTCGTGGCAAGGAAGCGTGCTAGCTTATCCTCTCTTTCATAAGCAGATAAGAAGCTTCTGCTTTCAAATAAACTGTTGAGGTGGTCATGCAAGGGTATACATGAGCCTTGAGGGCATTGCATTTTGCGGAGGTGAGATGCTTTGGGCTTTTGGCAACGTATGGATGAAACTAGAATTCCGCAGACAACTTTAACTTGCTCATATGCTTTAAAAAATTCGTTCCCTGGATGCGGACAGAATGAATTGATGCGTCGTGAGCTAGTGATATTTCTCTGTTTACAATCATACGGCACAAAAATTTGATTCTACGCCATCTCAAAGTCCTCTTATCTTACCGAAAGGACAACCTTGCTTGGACCCCATAAACAGAGGAACTTGTGGCCATTCCCAATTATTTGTTAGTATTCTATCTGCCCGTAAAACCCAAAATAATAATAACAATCATCATCATCATCATATACAATATCTCCATATTAATACCATTTATCTCACATATCATTCTAACTATGTCCTATCAAATTTTATTTTCAATGAACTATCGAACAGCCGTAGACCTTTTGGCCTTCTATTTTAACGCAAGATATCTAACACTTCTATGCTTTGTTATAAAAGTATACAGTCTGATACATATTTTCATTTGCTTCTAAACTTATGAAAGTATAACTATGGCAACCAAGCAGAAAAAGTTAATGTTTATTTTATGCTGAGCTTGGAACCCCGACGAAGTGAGATAATTTAAATAACTATTTTCATAGAGAGTAGTTTGCTCCTTCAATCCTTTACATACTACAGAGAGAACGGGAAAGAAGGGTAAACCAAAATGGAGATAACTTGTGGAACCAATCAAGTGTAGATCAAAAGCATTAGCCCATAGCTGCAAATAAGCAGAACAATCTGCTCAATCTCGCAATCATTATGGCATATCACTTTGAGAATTCTTGGGAGACTCCGGATGATGGTTTCCCCGTGCCGAGTTCATACGTTCAAGACGAGCTTCTCTCCATAAATTTGAATTGGAGGACTTTAGTAACAAGCCCAAGGCAGAAGAACATGTTGCTCTAACAATTGCATCTGGTGATCGACTCATTTTGCTCACCATCGTCCCAAACACCTAAATGAAGATACAAATCCTGTGAAATTTCAGTTTTAGGTGAGCAGTCTAGAGTGCGCTCGCATTTAAGAAAAAGACCTTTGTATGGTAGAGAAATAGAATATGCTGACTGTCCGATAAAGAAAGAATGCTGCTGCACAAGTATATAGCATTTGCCTGAATTATTGGCCATGATGCATCAAAAGCCTGCATCATCAAGAAAGCAAACGGCCCCATTACTTACATATGTGGTTGAAATATATGTTGACAACTGAATTACTACGTGCTTTGAAATGATGAAAGACAAATCCAGCTACAACAGTAGCCACAGTGGACAGCTTGATCCTTGATAGATCAATCCTAGCGTTTCCATTTTAAAGTAGCGATACTGATGAATGATGAATTGAGAAGACAAGAAGATGCACATGAGCTACACGTATGAACTATTCATAACATGTGTGTTGTTCAGACTAAATACGAAAGGAAAAAAAAAACTTATTACCAAACCGAGAATCCAAAAAGAAAAATAGAGGTTGTTTGCGAGCAGAAAATAGCAGAAAAATAGAAATTATCTAGTGTCCCTAGCCTTAAGTAAACAAATTAGGATCAATTTCATATCAAAGCAAAATCATGAAGGTACCGTAATCATTTAGTTATAGCAGATAGCAAAATAAGTTCAGGCATCATTGACTCGTCGAATTAAAGAACCTGAACAGTTGGCGCCATATATGTATCAAGTCTGGAAGGAAGATGCTGAGTAAATTGTTTCGCAATGTCCCTAAGGAAGTCCTCATACTCGCTTCTAAAATCACACAAAAAAGTTGGGTGAAACTTCAATAAACTTTCACATAACAAAGATCAAATCAGTCACATCATACCGGTGATCGGAAAGGAAACAATTTGTATTTAGAAGGGCAGGCAATCCTTCAATCTCCATCAAAGGGCACACCCTTCTTAGGGTATTCTATCAATCAATGCATTAAAAGAAAAATCAGTGAAACGTTAAAACTTGATAGTTTATTTAGAATTTCCAATTCAAGAAAATCCAAAATAGTGGTTGATTACCCGACAGGCCAGTCGCACACCAACATCTTCATCATGAAGATGCAAAATCAAGCGAGGAACAACAGCATGTACCTTTTATAAAAAAAAAAAAAAAATCATCAGGATGAAATGAGCCTGCTGACATAATGCCAAAGAAATATAGGACAATGATCAACTCAATTTAGCCATGCCAAAACTACACGATGCACAAAAAGAATAAGACATGTTACCTGGAAAAGCCTACAATAAACTCAGTTGAAAATTCCATGTAGAATATTTGTAATTTTTCCAAATAAATCAAATTCGAAAACAAGTGTCAAATTGAAGGCCATTGCTGGTTGGTCCACTTCCCTATTCTGGTCTGGCTATTCAAAACATCATTTTCGCAACTATGAGAAATCTAGCCTAGTATCAGAGAAGTCTAATTAGTTTCCACCACTGGCTAACGAACTAATCAGGGATGAAGGACGTCTTCAAATTACTCATAGTGATCATTGCCCAAAAAAAAAAGGAAAAGAAAAAAGAAAAAAAGCCAAAGACGATAATACCAATCTTGTTCCAAATGAAGGGACTGAAATGGCCTAGCCCATTGAAACTTACCAAGAAAGAAAAAAGACAAGAAAGGGATAAGCCGGAGTGAGATGATGAGGAAAATTCTTATGAATTCTAACAAATATAATCGGAAAGATGGCAGGAGAAGGAGGTAATTGACAGTGGAGAGTGCTAGCATCTCAAACGCTAGCGTGTGAGGTGGAGAGCGCTCTCTTCCTATTTCCTTTTTGCAGTGTTTTCCTGAGCTAAGTCCTTCAATCTTACACTGATTGAAGGCTTCTCAGTAATTTAGTTCATATATGATAAAATACACATCCATTTTCATCATTTTTAGCCTGGGTTCCATTGTAACCAAATAAAAACAAAGCATAACAAAATTTAGAAGTCTGATGGATGTGAGGAGCGTAACAGCAGATAGCCACCATGATTGGATTGCATAGGTCTTCATAATTTTGAGTCCACATCAAGAGCACAAATA